TCTAGAGTCCCCAGCCGTTCCATCTCTCCACATCATCGTCTCTGCCTCCATCTCTGGCATCACTGCTTCTCTGGGTAGGGTCCCACATTCCACTTTTCTCCCTTGATGGTTCCAGGAACCTTGGCTCCTGGACCGCATAGTCAATCACTCCCCTCCTTTTGCTATCGCATCTTCCCTTCTTTATCAGCTAAGACCAACTACTGATTTACCACAGCCAAACAGCCGCCAGGGTCACTGTTCTTCACTCTACTCACCAAGTGGCATTTATATGTAATTCCCATATATATACCACCTCACCATCATATACTGGCCCCTTTTGTCCCCCTCACCTTTGCTCTTCTGTCGAGTGTCTTCATGGGCTTTCTGCAGGGGCAGAAAAGCTCTGCTCCCACTAATACCGATGTCCACTAGGTAGCCGTGGTCTTCCTGACTGGACACCGTGCCTGTGAGTAGCTGGGGGAGGAAAAAGCATTCTCAAAAGCTCAAAAATCAAAAGTAATGAGACACACAACCAAACATTCACTACCTAATGTGAATGCTTCGCTATTGATCTCAACACACTCTCTTACCCAAAGCAAGGTTTTCCCAAAACTTGAAGGCTTCTAGACTATGAGGAATACCATACACAGTTGAATAATGACAGAGGGCTCTCTTCCTTGGGTAATTTTCAAAAGATAGAAAGAACTTTGTACAGAAGGGAATGAACTAGGTGGCCTTGCAAAAGTCACTACCAGATCCATAAGTAGTTACGGAACCTACAAACCACGTCCTCCCAAAGCATCTCCAAGTCTTCAAAAAAACTGGCCAACAGCCTTTACATTTCATGGAAAGCAGAGTGGCCTTCTAGTCGGACTGATACTAACTCTGTGGTCTGTGGTAAATCACTGAAAACTGAGTCCATTTCCTCAAATGTACAAGAGCCTCACAGGGCTGCTGTGAGAAGTTAATCATGTATGAGCCTAAGCCAGCATTTACCACACAGCAGGCTGTCAACACAGGCTATTTCACTGAAAATCTGGCTTATTTTCACTCCCCTTTCTGTCTAACTAAATGCCACCTAACTTTTAGGGTCCACTCCAAATCTTACCACTCACTGCTTACATGACTGTAGTTTACTGTTTTGTACCTATTGGACTTGGTAAGTTCTGAGCTAGAACTACCGTCTCCTGAATCTCCATAAAATGAACACGAAGTGTTGGATACCCATTACAATGGCTGACAGACTAATTACCCTCCGTACTCTGTCTCCTCCACTCAGGGGAGTAGAATGGCTAAGGAACCATTCTATACAAATATCAGATGGCCCTTGAAAAGACTTCATCTAAGACGTGTAGACAAATGAGACACTGAAGAGGAATTCCTTCTGGCCACCAGCCAAGTCCTCTGTGGGGGCTCCCTGGGAGCACTTTTCTATGCCACCAGTTATTCTTGGATTTTCCTCTGCCCTCCAAAGTGATATGATTAGGTTTAGGTTCAGTTCAAGTCTTCAATTTCCATTACGTATCCTGAAAACCTTCCCTCCAAGAAAAGGCCTATCCCCGTGTGTAACAGTCAGGCTGGAAATAAAAGGTGGACTATGATCACCCTAGCCAGCAGACACGGCAAGAAGAAGGCATGTTGCCTGCTCCTATCCCCTGACCCCAGACAGATACTTACCATGCCAGGCTTCAGGGCCTCAGCACTCAGCACTCCGTTGACATTCCGAGGGTTGAGAGACAGCTTGACACTCTTTTTGCCCTTCTTTGTGATGCCCACACAGCTCACTACACACCTCACCAGCATCCCAGGCGAGAAAAGCTCTGGCAAGTGGACCAGGTCCTACACAGTGCAAATGAGAAAGGTCTGGTACACACCATTCCCATGAACCAAGAACCTACTGCCCTGCCTTGGCTCAGTGGTCTCTCATCCTCAGACCCCAAATTCAGTCACAGTTCTCCCATGAAGGAAGTCTGGTCTATGGCCAAGCCACAGTCTTGAATCCCAGCATAACGCCTCCAAATATCACCATATAACAGGCAGATCTAAAATGACTTGTCAAAATAGGTATTTATATTTAGTCTCCACATCTTCTACTTGCTATTCAGTCCCTCCAATCTGGTTTCTATCTTTCCTGCTCACCACTTTGACTCCCAATAAAACCACCAATGATCTTCATGTCACTAATCCAATGGTTCATTTTGTAGTCCTCACTCTTAACTTTTTATTTTTTTCATGTTTTATTGTAAATTATGTGATAGTTTACATGGGAGAACAGTAGCTTTACATTCATCCTATTGTGTATCGTTACATTGCCATGATTACAATCCCCTCCATGCATCATCAACCAACCAAAGGGTATACCCTGCAAGCCTGCCGCCTGGTCGTCAGCACACAGCCCCTCTCCCTCTATGGGTCTAGAGTCCCCAACCACTCCATCTCTCCACATCATCATCTCTGCCTCCATCATCTGTCCTCCTTTTGCTACAAAATATCTACCTTTACATTTCTAACCCTCAAAGTCAGTCCTGATAGTAATTATTCACTATTGGACCACAAGAGTGCTATTCACATCTCCTTTCATTGGCTACTAACCAGTGGAAAGTCTACCTTCCTCCACGCCCTGTGATAGCTTGAGGAAGCTGTAAGCTGGGCAATCCCTCTGCTTCACAGCCCACAACCAATCTATCACCACAGCATTGATTATCTCCTCAGTCCTTGGTTATCTCCTAAATAAATTCAAGCTCCATGCCAGGCTTTCTCAGAGTCAGGACTGCTACGAGAGCCTCCTAACTTGTTGTTGGAAACTATGCCTGCCTTTCCATCCCATTTATTATATTACCTATGTGTCACCCTCTCCAATCAGAACATCTCAAGGGCTTTCTATTGACTATGGGGAGTGTAGTGGCTGTATAAGCACTGGACTGCAAACCACAAGGTCAGCAGTTTGAGCCCACCAGTTGTTCCTCAGGAGATCAGGCTTTCTGTTCCCACAAAAATATGTTGTTGTTAAGTGTCATTGAGTCGGTTCTGACTCATAGCGACCCAGTATAGGGTTTCCAAGGAGTGGCTCATAAATTTGAACTGCCAACCTGCAAGTTCTAAGTGACCTTGCAGTCTAGAACATTAACCCACAGCACCACACCAGGACTCTCACAAAGAGATAGCCTCAGAAACCCTATATAAGGTTGCTATGAGTTGCAACCGACTCGACAGCTCATAACAATAACTATTGACTATAAAATTAAAAATCAATCCTTAACGTGGTCTACAAAGCCATGCATGGTCTGTACTCTACCCAGCTCTCAACTCCATCCCATCCCATTCTTTCTCAGTCTCTCTGCTCTAGTCACACTAACCTCTCTGCTATATACCCAGCTCTGTGGCCTGAACTCCCTTCCTTCTTTATTAAAAACTCTTATCATTCAGATCTCAGTTCAAGGACCATTTCCTCATGAATGTCTTCCTGGCTCCCCAGACTAAACTGTTCTTATAAAATTGATTACAACTTTATCATCAAGTTGATTCTCAACCCCTAGAGACCCCCTGTGACAGAGTAAAGCTGTCCTACCAGATTTTCTAAGCTGTTATCCTTACAGGCACAGAGTACCAGGTCTTTCTCCCTGCTGAACAGCTTCACACCACCATCCTTTCTGTTAGCAGCTGAGTGTCTAACCATTGTGTGACCAACTAAGGCTCCTTAAACCCAAACCAAGCCCAGTTCTATCAAGTTGATTCTGACTCGCAGCGACCCTATAGAACAGAGTGGAACTGCCCCATAGGGTTTCCAGGGCTGTGAGTCTTTACAGAAGAAGAATGCCACATTTTTCTCTCTTGGAGCGACCAGTGGGTTTCAGCCAAGTGCTTAACTATTGCATCATTGTTGTTGTTGCTGTTGTTATGTGCCATGGAATCGGTTCCAACTCATAGCAACCCTGTACAGGGTTTCCGAGGCTGTAAATGTTTATGGGTGCAGGAAGCCTCATCTTTCTCCCACGGTATCCCTTTATTATAGTAAACTCTTCATGACAACTCCTGCCTGTTTTTCATAGCATTTCCCAAAGTTGTCATTTTACATCTATTTGTATGCCACTATCTCCAGTCACAGACCTCCATGTGGGTTTATCGTACCGTCAGGGGTTCTTCTTGTGCCACCTGCTCATTCAGCTTCTTAGTGTAGGCATCACAGATTTCAGTCACTTGCACGAACCCCTGAAGGCCGTTAGGGAGACTAATCACCAGTTCCAGGTCATGAACCTCTTTCACACAACCCAGAATCCGCATCCCCTCACATAGAGCCTGGAGAAGACAAGGGCAAATGTGTACAATAAGGAAGAGAACAATGAGTGGGAGCCTAGGGGTTCTGGCTAAAACAGAAACAGACCACTTGACTTTCCTGAGAGAATTCCCACATCTATGAAGTGAAAGGCTGCATTAGTGGTTATTACAGCTACTGCCAGTTCTAACCTTCTATGAATCTACTAAACACTGATACCATCAAGTCACAAGTCCTATGAGGACACAAAGCCAACTCCAGGATTCTGTAAAACACACAAGACAAGAAAATGGTCCCCCAGGGGGTGGTGAATAATAAAGAAAACAATGCTCAATTCTCACCACTAGCTATAAGAGACTCTACAGACTAAAAAGAAAGAGGAGGAAAGTGAGAGGGAGACAGGGAAGAACATACACAAACTGAAGCATCCAAGGGAATTTGTTTAAAGAACCATCAAATTTCAACAAACCTCAACTCGAAGGATTTCAAACTTCTCTTTTACAGGTTTGATGCTTTCTTTCTTCTCGATTTTCAGCTTTTTCGTTTTTATGGGTCCTTTTTGGCTCTTTTTCCTTTTGGTGGACTCTTCTTCAGTATTCATCTAAAAGGGAGTAGAGTGGGGGGAAGAAGCCCCACAAAGATCCAGAAAAAGAATTTAAAGAAGCAATCTTGGCATTTGCCTCCAATTTCAGATCAGCTATCATCTCACCTGACATACTCTTCCACCCCATCCCACTCCCAACTGGACCTTCATTCCCGCTTCAGTCCAAACTCACCCATTCTGCCCACAGTGCTCCTATGCCCAAGCTCTGAGCTACCTTTGTGTTCTCAAAAGCTCCCTTCCTCCAATGCTCTTCATTTCATCCCTTGACTCTGAGGTTTCCCAGTATGAGAAATAATGTGGAACAGTGTGTGAAAACGGAAGTTGTAGTAGTCACAGACCTGAGTTAAACTCAGGACATCACGGTAACAATCTGTGTAGTTTCAGCTAAATTATACACCCTCTCTGAGTCTCGTTTTCTCAGTTCATAACATAGTTGGAATGGTTAACATGAAACAGGCATGAGAGCATACACTCAAATGTTAGTTTCCCTCTAGCATAAAGGGTAGTCTATTCTTGTTGATGCTAATGCAAATCATGACTATAACTATTATACATGTCAAGTATCCCTTCAAAACTGCAATGACCAAACCACTGTCTCTCCATCCTTACCCAACACAGTGGGAGCATTTCCAACTCAAATACTAAATGTCATGCTTCAAAAGAAAATAGACTAATGGTAGTATGGCCTTGCACAAGTGGACTTTGAAAAAGTAAATCTGGAAAATGATACACACTCAAGCAAGACTCATTCTTTATAAGGACACCAGAGAAAAAGCTTCAATGAGTCGCACCAAATAAGCACACAAATTCAACCCACTACCATCGAGTCAACTCCAATACAACTTACATCAAATAAGTTGTCTTGTTCAACTGACTGCTGGAAGGTTTTCTCTGATTTGTGGGCCTTTTTTGTACCCCCTCGGGGGAAGCTTTCTTCCAGGGTTGCCATGTTTGGGTCTCCTATAAGCAATGCAAAGAGTAACAGTAAGATATTGCCAAAGTAGCAGATCTCTTTGAAAAAAAAAAACAAAAAAATTTTATTGTGAAGTGAGTGAAGGTATGTAGAAGAGATAATCTGTTTTACATCCAACAAATCATATACTTTGCTTCATATTAAAATGATTACAATCCCTTTCATGTACCAACAGTTAACAGTATTAACCTCTGTTCACTTTAATATTGCATCCCCCGTTTCCTCTGCTAACCTCCTTCTTACTGTATATTGTCAGTAGCAGATTTCTTAAAGGCTATTAAGGAGAGCCTTCTAGCTCTTATGTATTAGGCAGCATTCAGGACTAGCAGTCAGGCCCCAAATCATCTGTAATACATTCTTCCAAAAGCCTTAGTTTCAAACCCACAATTCTACAGGCCTTCCTCCAAGAAAAGAAGTTATGATTTAATATTCATTGAGTAGCTGTAATATATAAGGTAGTTAGGTCAGAAACACAAACAAATATAGAACTCCACATCTTGGTGTGGTGCTGTAGTATCAGCACTTGACTGTCAACCACAAGTTTGGTAGTTCAAACCCAACACTTACTCCTTGGAAATTCCATGCAGGATCACTGTGAGAACTGACTAGATGGTACTTAACAATCTTCAAGGAAAAGACAAACTTTTAAGAAGATAAAACAAGTATGTAAATAATTTTAAATATAAGTCAGATTTCCAGTGTCAACAAAGACAGAGAAAATGATTTGAAATTTCAATAAAGGAGCCAACCTTCCTAAAGATGCTTCTAGCTGACTGTTAAAACAACACTATGATTTTGACAAGTAGATAGGGAAAAGCCGGAGGAATGTAAGAAAAGGCATAACAAGAAAAGCCCATTCCATTCAATAAATACCAACAATTACTCAAAGACAAGTCATTTCCTTTCTTTCAAGAAATGTTCAGCTAGACTTGTTAAGTGTTGTCAAGTCAGTTCCGACTCACAGCGACCCTTTATACGTTTCTGAGGAATGACTGGTAAGCGTGAATCTTCATTCAGACTTGCCAGAATAAAACATAATTAACGAGTCAAAATTTTAAAGATAATTTTTGTTGAAGATCTTGAATTCAATTTGAGTAGGAAATCCTATACAGGATTGTTATGAGTTGGAACCAATTCCACCGCATTTAACAACAGCAACACTTTATATTTGGGAAGGGCGGTAGCTCCATATAATAAGCACTGGACTGCAAGCCACAAGGTCCACGGTTCAAGCCTATCAGCTGCTACGCAGGAAAAAAACCGAGGCTAGGAGCTCTAGTAGCGTAGTGGTTACAAATCGGGCTGCGAACCTCAAGGTCAGCAGTTCGAAACTACCAGCTGTCTCGCAGGAGAAAGATGAGGCTTTCTGCTCCTGTAAAGATTTACAGCCTCGGAAATATAGTGCAGGACTCACTATGAGTCGGAACCGACTCCACCGCACATAACAACAATCTGGATTTGACTCTATGGCACATAACAGTTTATCTTTGCTTGGCAAATTAGAGCCCTAAGTAGGGGGCGAGACAGAACAGCAATCAAAACTAATCAAACATACTACAGGATAGGGATTGTACCTAGGTCGCTATGAATCGGAACCGACAACACAGATGGGATAGAAAGGCCTGAGGGCAGGCAAACCAGTTAGGATTCTATTGCTGTAAAGAAATCGTGAGAATCACAAGTAGGTATAAGTGAGAACTGAAGCTAGGCGGGGTTGGTTCTGAGACACTTAGAAATAAAAATCTATAGGGCTTGAGACTATCGAAGAAACGATGGAATAAAATGCAAGTGGGTCCAATTTGCTGGGAATCTGAACCTAAGTCTTGTTTCAGACAAAAGGGCACTGAAACGTCAATGAATATTTAAGGCGAGTAGCGGCAGAGAAGGGACTTAGGTGCTTCCCAGGTATGGAGCCGGCTTCAGGAGTGGGACTTGAGTGGCCGAACTATTCACTCGGTTCGCAGGGTGCATAGCAGGATCTGGGAGATCCGGACCAGGAATAGACCTGGAAGCCACAGGTTCCCTTCCTCCCGCCTCAGTCCTCATTCACCAGTCCCGCGACACAGGTACCTTTCTATTCCGGAGCCCGCGCCACCGTAGAAGTCACACACGCGGAGACCAGTAAACTCCACAGTCTGGCGTTGCTCTTCCGGAAGTGTGGGCGGGCTCACCTACCTACTTCCGTAACTCCGTTGAGTTCTACCGGACGGGGCAAGGGAATTGGAGGGCAGGAAGCGGAAGGGCGGGATTTCGAGCCGCCGCCAATCAACGAAGAAGACCGAGTCTCCGTGATCGGTTGAGCGGGTGTCGGGGAGGCGATTTCTTCCGGCTGGGCCGAGGGGTGGCTGCAGACGTTGAAGGACACAGGTTGTGGATTTTGTGAGTTTTGCAAGGTGGGTGTAGAGGGAGACCCGGACTGGGGCCTCACGGCTCCGTTTTACGGTGCCGGCCTACAATCTGACCATTCCTGGTCCGGGAACGCGGCGAGACCTTCGGTTATGGAGGGGGGAGGGGCGAAAGGAATTAAGAGAAAACGAGGGTCGGGTTGCGATGGGATACGCAGTGGCTGGAAAACGTAGTGCACCCAACGGATCCTACAATCCGCAAAGGCCCTTCGGTTGCATTTTCCCGTGGGAAAAATGACGCCCGCCGCGTAGGTAGTTTTCCAAGGTCACCAGTGACGTAATACTGAACGAGGGTTCGGTCTTCTGACCCAATCTCTGGCCGAATTAGCCGCGCTCTGCCTGTACGTCCCTACTCAGGGGTTTCTTCTGAGGTGTGTTCAGAAGGTTGGTCAGCCAGGCCTCTTCGAGCTACGCTGCAGCTTTGGTCAATGCGGGAGGGAGTGTGACCAGGCCTTGCAGTGCAGTTCACCAGGCAGGTTAGTTTTCAGTCTTGGGTACGGTCAGCGGGAAAGCCTTTCTTTCCTAGGAGGAAGTCAGAACAGAGCCCTGAAGCGCAAGAGGCTGCTTCTGGTGCCTAAGTGATTCTCGTTCATCTTTGCCTCCTTTATCTCGTGACCCCACCATTCCAAGTGGATGTCCATTCAGACAAGAACAGCAATATTGAAGAACAGAAAAAGTAGCATCTTGTCCCTTTTGATCTTTGAATGCCCATTTCGCTGGTGGAGAGAGGCATGGAAGGATTCATTATACTAATTAATTACCTTCTTCAACCCCTTGTTGTTTGTTGTTATATGCCATGGAGTCGGTTCTGACTCATAGCGACCCTGCACAGGGTTTCCGAAGCTGTTAATCTTTATGGGAGCAGAATGCCTCATCTTTCTACCGCGGAGCAGCTGGAGACCTTGCGGTTCACAGCCCAATTCGTAACCACAACGCTACCAGAGCTCCAAGTCCTCTCAAACACTTTCTCACAAGCAACTATTTTGTAATATTAAATTACAATGAGAAATGTCTTAAGTTTCTCCTTTATTAATATGTCTTTGTAAACTCACACGGGACTCAAAAGGGAAGATTTCAGTCAGGGTTTGAAACTGGCTCAGTCATAGCCATTGCAGTGAAATTGGAACACACTTGGATTTATAAATTTGAGCAGGAACAGGAAAAATTATGGGGCAAAGCTCTGGAATGGGAAATTTGGAAAAGGCATAGTGAGCCCTTTCAGGAGCTTGATGCCAGAAATTATTGCCAGGACTGTGGAGAGTCACACCCATTCAAAGTAACTGTTGGCTGTCATTTTTGAGCTGGGCACCAATGTGTCCCTTTGTCCATCAAGAAATTTGGTTGCTATGCAACACACAGCTGCCCTTGTTTCCAGGGAGGAGGATTACGTTTCCCAATGTGGTGCTGTCCAGACTGCTAACACATAAGGTCAGTGGTTCAAACCTACCAGCTGTCCCTTGGAAACCCTATGTAGAATCACTATGAGTCAAACCGACTGGATGACACTTAAAAACAACAGCAGAAAAGGCATCAACCTGTAATTTTTCCCATTCTGGTTATTGCTCCAGGACACCCACATTCTACAAATTCAGGTCCATTCCAGTTTCAGTTCATCTGTCATGAGTGAATTGGGAAAAATTCAAGCCCTGATTACAGTTCAGTTGTTTCACAAAGTGAGTTTTAACACAAGAGACTCCTTATCTTTGCCCTTAAATAATCTGCAGTTTATTAAGTGGTACGGACTCAAGTGTTTTCAGGCTTTATTCCAATTCATTTTCCTCACTAGCAACCCTTCCCCATTCCCTAATCCAGTTCAGATTCTCAAAAGCCTTCTTGAAAATTCAGCTAAATTTCATCTCATAGTATAGTGAGTGGCACGTTGGGCTGCTAACCACAAGGTCAGCAGTTCAAATCCACCAGCCATTCCATGAGAGAAAGATGAGGCCTTCTGCTCCCGTAAAGATTTACAGCCGCAGAAACATTATACAGGATCACTATGAGTTGGAACTCACTCAACAGTACACAGCCACCGACACGCTAATTATGCCCTTCTGTTCAGTCATAATTAATCCATGGCCCATGTTGTATAAAAGTGGAGTGGAGTTTAAAGCACCTTAACATTGTTAAGTCTTGATGTGGCACTATGGGTTAATGCGCCAGACAGTAAAGTTGTTCAAACTGCAAGGTTACGGTTCAAGTTCACTAGCTGCTCCTTGGAAAGCCTATTCAGGGTTGCTATGGGTTGGAACTGACTCAACTGCACTTAACAACAACAACAACAAAACGTTGTTTTGGAGCCCTGGTGTGGCACTGTAGGATAAGTCCACTGGACTGCTAACCGCAAGACCCACCAGCCAATTCTCAGTAACCCTGTACAGGGTGGATGTGAGTTGAAACCCACTCAGTGACATTTAACAACAACATTGTTTCAGTTTGACACTTGTTGTTAAGTGCTATAGAGTCGGTTCCGACCCATAGCGACCCTGAACAGGGTTTCCGAAGCTGTAAATCTTTACGGGAGTAGAAAGCCTCATCTTTCTCCCACAGAGCAGCTGGTAGTTTCAAACTGCTGAC